AAAGTAGTCTCTGAGGTCTTTTAACAAGATCGCATTAGTCTTTGTTAACCCTTAAATCTGAAGTGAGACAAAGTTCCAGACTCATCTATGTACGTTCTATGATGGGTATAACCTTCCTCTTAGAAAGTATCTTAAGATCACATGGGAGGTAGGAATCCTTGCACTAAGGGCTTTTAATAGAGCAAGGACATTTTAATAGTGTATGTCTATATATGTCAGGGCAGGTGCCTGTGGAGGCGAGAGGCATCGGATTCTCCCTGGAGCTGGAGTTACAGGTGTTCCGAGCCACCTGACATGATCCTGGACTCACAGGTCCTCTGCAAGAGCAGTGTGTGTTCTTAACTACTGAGCCACCTCTCATCCTGTACTGGCATATACTGTACACTTTATTTGAAAAATAATCACAAACTTCAAGTGTTTAAAATACTGAAATTACTAAATACTACATATCTTTTAACCAGATCTGCCTATTATTACTGTTTTACACATCTACTTCATACACAGTACTCTTTGGTTATCTACCCATCTATTTTATACTTGAAGGATAGGTTACAGTAATTCAGACGCTGGAATCCTTTATTAATATATATGTCAATACATACTCAGTATTTCTCTCTCTCTCTCTCTCATTGTTTTTGAGGTAGGGTTTCTCTGTATTGCTTTGGAGCCTGTCCTAAAACTCATATTCTGTAGACCAGGCTGGTCTTGAACTCAGAGATCCATGTGCCTCTGCCTCCTGAGTGCTGGAACTAAAGGCCTGCACCGACACAGCCTGGATTACTTCAGTATTTTTTAAGAATAAATCTCAGCTGGGCGGTAGTGGTGCATGTCTTTAAACCCAGCACTCGGGAGGCAGAGGCTGGAGAAATCTGTGAGTTCGAGGCCAGCCGGGTCTATAGAGCTAGTTCCAGAACATTCAGGTCTACACAGAGAAACACTGTCTCAAAAAAAAAAAAAAAAAAAAAAAAACCTCAAGATTTAAAAATTCATGCTGGAGAAATGGCTTAGCCATTAAATGCACCTATTATTTTGACAGAGTATTAAAGTTTGCTTCCCAGCAGCCATGCTGGGCACCTCACAACAACCATCTGTAGGCATCAGGTCCCCTGCTGGCGTCTGCAGACACTGACTCACGATAGCCTGCCCACACACATACATCCTATGGCTCTCTCACTGGTTAAATGACCTAAGGGTGCTCCCCACATCCACTTTTCCCTTCAGCAGAGGTTCTAGCCTACAGCAGACACTGACTCTTAATCACATCTTTCAAATTCTAAACTACTCCTGCTATTTTTGCTGGTCTCTCTTAACACTGTCAATTCACTTTTAAAATAGTTTTTGTTCATTTCTAAGTATGTCTGTGTGAGAGATACAAGGTACAGTGTCCTCAGAAGCTAGGAGAGGGCATCAGATCCCCTGGAACTGGAGTTACAGACTGCTGTGGGCTGCCATGTGGGTGCTGGAAATTGAGCCTGGATTCTCTACGAGAGTCAGCTACGTAATCCCATACACCGTCAAGTTTTAATCTTTATGACATTAAGTTGGCTTTATCAAAAAAAAAAAAAAAAAAAAAAAAAAAAAAACCACTTTATGATAACACAAGTGCAGATGGTAATGGTCTACATCCACACCCGCAGGCACACACACACGTGTCTACACTCACACCCGCAGGCACACACACACGCTATCTACACTCACACCCGCAGGCACACACAATGTGTACACTCACACCCGCAGGCACACACACACGTGTCTACACTCACTCCTGCAGGCACACACGTGTCTACACTCACTCCTGCAGGCACACACGTGTCTACACTCACACCCGCAGGCACACACACACACGTGTCTACACTCACTCCTGCAGGCACAGGTGTGCATCCCTCCTTTGAGGATTTTCATCTGGGTCACCGAGTCAAGGAATCACTCTGTTTATCTAATACATTTATCTGCCCCGTCTTTATGATGATGCAGATCTAGGCATTTCTCAACATTCAAAGAACGATAGACTTACTGGGTCATCCAACACAATTATTTCCAAAAGACATCATAAGCAAATACCAAACTTCAGTTAAGGAATGCGTGCTCAAGTATCTAGGGATGTCTGCATCTTGTCATAAACTGTCAAAACTCAAGAGGTCCCTGGACATAGTGCTAACCCTTTAGTCCCAGCCCCTGGGAGGCCCAGGCAGGAGGGTCTCTGAGTTTGTGTTCAGTCTGTTCTACATAGTGAGTTTCAGGGCCAGTCAAGGCTAGAAGACATGATGGGGATAATATGACAATGTAAGAAGGAAATACAGCACTAGTTAACAATTGGAAAATATAGTTGATGGGTATAGGGTTTTTACTATGTATACCTGTTATAAATATGTACTTACTGTGTATAATCCCTTGAAAATTAACATATTTGAGTATTTTCCATAATAAAATGTCGAGAATTTGAGGGCTAAGGGTGTATTCTCAACTGGTGGAGGGCCTGTCCCTCATCGGGCCCCGGGGCAGGTAGCACGAGCCTGCAGTTACAGTACTAGGGAGGCAGGAGGCAGAGGAAAGAGGCCTGACTGCACACAGTGAGTTTGAGGTCTGCCAGACTACATGATATTCTGTCCAAAAGGCAGGGACGAGAATTTTAAGAACATTGTAAGAGGCTAGCTTACAAAGAAGACGTGCGGTGATGGGTGGTAATGATCCCACCCAGGGTTTCAAGTGTGGTATATCTAGTACTGCCAATGAGAAAGCACGCTTAGATGACTACAGGTGACTGTGCTGTGATGAACTTGAGTGTCACATCTGTGTGAGCGCGTGTTAGAGATGTGCACAGTTCCATTTCTAGCCCTGTAGGGAAGAATGACATTTTGATGTTGGGTCTTTAATGGCTGGGTCATCTCTACAGCCCTTCTCTAACAAAGTCTTGCGTGTGTGTGTGTGCGTGTGTCTGTGTGTGCGTGCGTGTGTGCGTGTGTCTGTGTGTGCGTGCGTGTGTGCGCGTGTGTGTGCGTGCGTGTGTGTGTGTGTGTTTGCTTATGTGACTGCTACAGTGCATGTACAGGGGTCACAGAAGGTAGAGGACTGCTTTCCAGAGTCGGTTCTCTCCCTTCATCTGGGTTCCCGGACTTAAACTCAGACAGCAGACACCCTTACCCACTTGCTGAGCCATGTTTAACAGTTCCATGTTTGTACGGTGGCGTGCATGCATGTTTCTGCCAGGGTGGATGGATGTTGATCCTTTCATTACTCCCCACCTTGTACACTGGGTGCTTGACAATCTGGCTAGTCTGAGTTAGGCAGTCTACCTCAGAAAACCCTTCTTCCCGCCTCCCAAACACTGGGATTATAGCCAGTCCATGACATTCTCCGGCATTTTCTCAGGAGCTAGAGATCCAGACTCAACGTTTTCTAGTAAGAAGCCCTTTACCCACTGAGATGCCATCTCCCAAGACCTCCACCCAAAACAGTATTTTTTTTTTTACAGTAGTATATATGTACTTGAATATACACAGGTAGAATATGTTTGACTTAAATTGATACTTTAATTAGATGTCTTTTTAATCTATATCCTTTGTAGTTTATTTATTCAAGCAGACCAGAAGACATTTTCCTTGTTCAAAATTCTTTTTAAAAATGATTTATTTATTTTTATGTATACTGTTATTCTGCCACATATATGTCAGTGTGAGGGTATCAGATTCCCTGGAACTGGAATTACAGACAATGTGCACTGCCATGTGGGTGCTGGGAATCTGGGTCCTCTGGAAGAGCAGCCAGTGCTCTTAACCACTGAGCCATCTCTCCAGCCCCGTAACATGCCCTTTATGAGTTTACTATACTTACTATTCTTCACAAATGTTTTACTTTTTGTTTGATGTTTAAACTGTGCTTTTCTCTGTAAGCAGCTGATGATATTTACAAGTCACTTAGAGGTTGCTGCTGGTGTCTGTGCCATGGCTCCTTTATTCTCTACCCACAGCGGGGCGGCACTTCTCGCACAACTACGTATGCGTGTGGCCACCAGTGTGGCCACCAGTGCCGTCCTCAGAAGGGACATCCTTGCAGTCAGCCTTCACCACGGAAGATGACTAACTATCACAAAAAAGTAAAAGGTAAGACTTCTTCTTAAAAGTGTTCTCAAACTACTACTTCTTGGAAATGGCTGAAAGTACACTTTGGTATTTAATCCGTTCTATATAATTTAATGTAGAGTCACATGTCTACTCACTCTAAGTATGCCAAGGGTTTTCTAACATGTCCCTTGAGGGGCTGGGGGATAGTTCAGCAGTAAAGTGCTTACCTAACAGGCACAGTTCCTAGATCCAAAAAAAAAAAAAAAAAAAAAAACCCCTGCATCACCTTTTTTCTAAAAATTATGAGTTTAAGGCCAGGCTGAAACACAAAGACCCTGATCAGAAAGACAAAACAAAAAAACTAGTAATAAATAAAAGTTAAAGTTATGTTTGTAAACAAATTGCTTATTAGGGCTCCATCACCCAGTCTACAAAGGCACAAACTGTAAAGGACTTACTAATGTCAACGAAAGGCATGAAGTGTGTACTGCTGGTAGCTACATCGCACCACACAGGAGGAAAGGGCAGCAGCAGTGCTGACAGCTGGCAGGCGTGCACGCTGAGACCGAATGCAGGGCGAGGTCAGCCTAGCAGCGCAGTTACAGGAGAGGTGGGGTACGCAGGCACTGTGAGCGCACACTCACGTAGCTGCACACCGCACACGGGACTAAGTCCACCACCCAGAACCAAGCACACAAGCACCCAGGAACTAGCTGGCACTGTTCTAAGGTGCTCGTCTAATGTGTTGCATACCAGTGCAGAATGTTCTATGGAATACCACACCAAACAACTGAATACACAGTATCTGAACCTGTAGCTGGGCTTGGTAGCACACACCTGTAACCTCAGCACTCAGTGGGATGGGGCAGGAAGATGGAAAGTTTGAGGCTGGCCTGGGCTAAAGGCAAAACCCTGTCTCAAAATGAGAAAGACACAAACCTGTATAACTGTCATCATCGCCAGACAGAGGCACCTCTCTTTTTAGCAGCAACTCCAACTCTTCTGTCTCTGCTACATCCACTGGACGCTCTCCGTGCTTGTTAGCTTGAAATGGGTTCCCACCGTGACGAAGCAATAGCTTCACTATCTGAAACATTCAACAACAGGAAGGTTTAGTGCTCTCATTTATTTCACACCATTACCCCCTCTCTTTTTTACATGCATGAGCGTGCCTGGTGTCCAAAGAGGTCAGAAGAGGGCACTGGGCCCCCTGGGATGGGCTGGAGTGACACATGGTTGTGAACTGCCGTATGGGTGTTCGGAACTGAACCGGGCATCTGGAAGGGCAGGGTGTGATGCTAACTGCTGAGCATCTCTCCAGGCTCTCAAGCCATTCTCTTGACAACACAATCTCCACTTGGATGTTGTTTCATCTATTCTACATCCATAACACAGTACCTACTTAAAAGCATTCTAATTATTCACTAATCTCACTTTGAGCAAGCCTCACCCCACACAATGGCCTCATCTACTGGAAAGAAATGTTCTCCCTAAATTTTAAATGGGGGTGGGGAGACCAGAGTGATGGTTTCACAGCCTGGTTCAGAGTTCCAGGACGGCCAGGGGTATGTAAAGAGGCCCTGCTTGGAAACAAACACACACGGACTCTTGAGTCTATTGAAAAGCTTTCTATGATCACCAGGAAGCAATCAATGTAGGTACAGAGGGTCTGAAAGGCATGCCACAAAATTTCCAACATAACCAACATTTTACAGAAAAACCTCACATACAAACATTCTAATGAGTAGTCACATTAACTTAAAATGGCTTAAAATGTAACAAGTAACAAATCCCAGCACCAGCAGGCAGAGGCAGGTGGATCTTTTCGAGGCCAGCCTGGTCTACAGAGTGAGGCTCAGGATAGCCAGGGCTACATACATACAAACCCCAAACCAGAAAATAAAAAATAAATAAATAAGTGATACCTAAAACAGAAGAGGAGAAAAGCAGCATAAAAATGTGTAAGTTAGGCACAATACACTTGTCAATGACAGGGTAGAGACTAGGCTACTGGTAAGCCATGTCCCTCCAACCCTCACCACTTAAGACCAGTTCACAGACCTGCCCTCTTTCCACTCCCCCCTCCTCAGAACACTTACACGTCTCTTTAAGATAGCATGATCTTTCCTGAATGGAAAGTACGTTCTTAGCTTTAGTTCACAGGACATGTGTACACCCATAGGGCTAAGAACGTTTAACAGCTTTTCTTCTTCTCTCTTAAGCACAAATAGAAGAGCAAGAGGAAACAGGACTAAAACTTCTTAAACTGTGATGGCTCTTAAACTGAGATGACTCTGAGCTTAAGAGCGCTCACAGCTCTCGTAGAGGACCTGGGCTCAGTTCCCAGCACCCAGATAGAAGCTTCCAACTACGTGTGCGTGGGTGGACACTCTCTTCTGTCTTTGCAGGTTTCTGCGCACGTGCACGCACGCGCACACACACACGGTGTTCACACACACACACACACATTCACACACACAGTGTTCACACACATGCACGCACGCGTGCACACACATGCACACGGTGTCCACATGCATGTCAATTAAGGATATATGTATGCATATTTTAAACTCTCAGTCTTGAAAAGACACAGCTGATGTGGGATGTCCTTCTGTATGCCATGAATACGTGTTCCTTTTATTGGCTGATAAATAAAGCAGAATATAGCTAGGCAGGAATTCCAAACAGAGATATGGAGAGTAGAAGGCGGAGTCAGGGAGACTCCGTGTAGTTACTGGGGAAGCAAAGATGTGAGATAAAAGCCACCAGCCATTGTGGTAAAGTACACAATATTGGAAATGGGTTAGTTTATATGCAGAGCTAGCCTGGGCCGTTGGCCAAACAACTGTAATTAATATTAAGCCTTAGTTAATGTGGTTATTTGGGAACTGATGGGTGGAATGGGGGGAACTTCCAACTACAAACAGCAGAGCCCTTCTAGAAGGGCTACAAACATGACTGTGTAAAGCATGTGAGCTCAAATGTCAGCTTTTGGAAATACTGTGCACCTATGAGCATATTAAAAAACTTAGGGTCACAGAAATACGTCTTAGTCCACTTAGGTAGCAAGCATCTACGCATTGAGCTATTTTACCAGCCAACATTACAATGTCTTTAATGAGAAAAAAAAAGGGAAAACACCTTACGGAAAATAGTGAACAGCACTTCTCACTTCTATAAATTATTTTGGCATATTCGAAGTACAGCAATACAGAAGAAACTTTTAGAGTTTTCTACCCTCATGTTTCCATATCATTTTCAATTTCAAGGTTTGCATATACAGTGTCTTCTATTTCTTCATAATATTCCCTTTTAAAAGGTAAAATTTTTATTATGATTTTTCTATTTAAAGAATTTCTTTTCATTTTACATAGCAACTCCAGTCCTCCCTCTATGGCTACTCCCCACCCTCTCCTCTGAGGGGCGAGGCCTCCCTTGGGGAGTTAACAAAGTCTGCCACACCAAGCTGAGGCAGGGCCAAGCCCCTTGCCCCCATCTCAGGGCTGAGCAAGGTATCCCACCATAGGGAGTGGGCTCCAAAGAGCCAGTTCACGCCCTGGGATAAGACCTGGTCCCACTGCCAACACTCCTCCAAACAGATCACACCACAGGACTGCCACCCACATTCGGAGGGCCTAGTTTGGCCCCATGCAGGCTCCCCAGCTGTCCGTCCACGGTCCCTGAGCTCCCGCTAGCTCGGGTCAGCTGCCTCTGTGGTTTTCCCCATCATGCTCTTGACCCCTCTTATTCATATGATCCCGCCTTCCTCTCTTCATTCGAAATCCAGGAGCTCAGCCCAGTGCTTGGCTGTGGGTCACTGCATCAGCTTCCATCAGCTACTGGATGTAGGTTCCATGATGACAATTAGGGTAGTCACTGATGTGATTAAAGGGGAAGGCCCATTCAGACACACTCTCCACTACTGCTGTGAGTCTTAGCTGGGGTCATCCTTGTGGATTCCTGGGAATTTCCCCAGCACCACGTTTCTCCCTGACCCCACAACGGCTCCCTCTATCAAGATGCCTCTTTCCATTGCTCTCCCACCGGCCCTTCCAGAACTTGGCCTTCTTGACCCCTCATGTTCCCATCCCCCACCTTTCCCCTCCCACCGGCCAGTATCCAGGAGATCTTAACTAACATTAATTAATTTCCCCTTCCTGGGGCCCTCCATTTATCCCTGCTAGGCTCCTCCTTTTTACCTAGTTTCTCTGGGGTTATAGATTGTAGTCTGGTTGTCCCTTGCTTTATGTCTGTCTTTCTGGTCTGGGTTATCTCACTCAGGATGGTGTTTTCAGTATTTTCATCCATTTGTCTGCCAATTTCAAGCGGTCGCTTTTTTCTGGTGAGTATAGTACTTCACTATGTAAATGGACCACATTTTCTTTATCCATTCTTCAGTTGAGGGACATCAAAGTTGTTTCCAGGTTCTGGCTTTTATAAATAACGCTGCTATGAACATAACTGAGCCAATGTCCTTATGGTATGATTGTGCCTCGTTTGGGTATATGCCCAAGAGTGGTACTGCTGTGTCTTGAGGTAGACTGATTTTCAATTTTCTGAGGAACCACCACACTGATTTCCAAAGCATCTGTACAAGTTTGCACTCCCACCAGCAGTGGAGGATGATCCCCTTACTCCACACCCTCTCCAGCATAGGCTGTCGTCAGTTTTTGATCTTAGCCGTTCTGACTGGGTTAAGAATAATCTCAGAGTTGTTTTGATTTGCATTTCTCTGATGAACAAAGATGCTGAGGACTTCCTTAAATGTCTTTTTGGCCATTTGAGTTTTGTATGATGAGAATTCTCTGTTTAGATGTGTACTCCATCTTTAATTGGATTATTTGGTCTTTGGATGTCTAGGTTCTTGGGTTCTTTGTGTATTTTGGAGATCAGCCGTCTGTCAGATGTGGGGTTGGTGAGGATCTTTTCCTACTCTGTGGGCTGCTGTTTTGTCTCACTGGCCATGTCCTTTGCTTTACAGGAGCTGCTCAGTTTCAGGAGGTCCCATGTACTCATTGTTGCTCTCAGTGTCTGTGCTACGAGTGTTATGTTCAGGAAGTGGTCTCCTGTGCCCGTGTGCGCATGGCCCCTCTCTGTTGAGGGCCGGCCAGGTGAGCTCAGCAGCGGGAGCACTCGCCACTCTGGCCCTCTTCTGGCCCTCACAGGCACTGTACACACCTGGCGCACACACATGCACACATGCGGCACTGTACACACCTGCTGTACACACATGCACACATGCGGCACTGTACACACCTGCTGTACACACATGCGGCACTGTACACACCTGGCGTACACACACATGCACACATGCACACATGCGGCACTGTACACACCTGGCGTACACACATGCACACATGCGGCACTGTACACACCTGGTGCACACACATGCACACATGCGGCACTGTACACACCTGGCGCACACACATGCGGCACTGTACACACCTGGTGCACACACATGCACACATGCGGCACTGTACACACCTGGCGCACACACATGCACACATGCGGCACTGTACACACCTGGCGTACACACATGCACACATGCACAATAGCCATGCCTATTTTTTATAAAAGCTTTTTATTTTTTTTTGGGGGGGGGGCGACATTGAACCAGGGTTTTGTGTGTGTGTAGTCTTGGCTGTCCTGGAACTTACTCTGTAGATAAGGCTGCTTCCCAAATGATGGGATTAAAGGTGTGAGCTACCATGGCCTGGCTAAAAATGCTTTTTAATAAAATAAAAAAAAAAAAAAAAAGAAACCTCTCTTAAAGGTATTATAATCTTAGGATATGGAATGGATGCTCACAAGAGAGACCTAACTTATTTAATTAGGAGCATAGTAAATTGACCAAGCAAAAGGGATCTCAACTTTTCATTTGAAATTCAACTTTACTCAGTTTTAAGACATTTTTAAAAAGATAAGCAACACAGCACTATAACCTCTGCTAAGTATGTGTCCCAACCATACTCCATCTATCTATCTGACAGATGAAAGTATTGTAATAAAATGTTTGACAAATGGGTTAACTTAATATCAACTAAATAAACATTTTATTTATTTTCAGGGAGTTCTTTTAAGAATCACTGTATAACCCTCCCTGATCTAGTCACTATGTAGACCAGAAGGACCTCAAATTCCAAGATATCTGTCAGTCTCTGTCAAGTGCTAGAATTAAAAGTGTGCATTGCCATGTCTGGCTGAAACCAGCTTATTTTATGAAAAAATAGTGCTAAATCAAATAAGTACAAATTAGAAGTCAGAAAAATGGGGGAAACAAAGATAAAGTGATGAGGTCAGACGGCTGAGACCGTGCTCGGTCACCCTGCTCGCCTGTGTGAGAATACACAGGCGCGACTTGTTCACCATACTCAGTTCACCATACTCAGTTCACCATACTCACAGCTCTATGGCCGCTGCTGGCGGAATCGTGCAGGGGGGTGTCATCATCTAACCCTTGAGTATTCACATCTGCTCCTGCTGCTATAAGTATTTTAGCAACATCATAATATCCAACATTGCATGCTTCATGTAAAGGCGTCCAACCTAAAGTGAGGATATGAATTTAACAAGAGTTCAAGATGATGTTTTCCATGTTCATATCTATATCAATTCTAAGTCAAACATGATACAGAAATAAAGTGAACGAGTGAGAAACTAAAATAAATGATACTATCAATTTTAAGAAGGTTCACTTGAGGGAATATTAGTTTCAGTGGAACTAAATTATTTGATAAAATACTAAAGGTATTCAGTATTAATCTGGTTTAATTAATAATCATCAAAACTATAGGAAAATATATGAGTAACTTTGGTTAAGAGTCAGTTAAAATTTTATGTTTGATATAAACTTTTATATGTTTTATATGGTCTTATGTCTATTTTAAGAAAAATAGATTTGTCACTTTGCTTTCATAATTAAACATGTTCACAAATGAAATATTAGAAACATCAAAACCACAAACAGCACTGTATTCTTATCACCTAAGTATAATAGTTTTTAAAATTTCCTGTAATTTTTTAATAGATTAATTTGTTATGTACATAATGGTTCTGCTGGCATGTCTGCTTGCCCACCAGAAGAGGGCACCAGATCTCATTACATGGCTGTGAGCCACCACATCGTTGCTGGGAACTGAACTCAGGTCCTCTGGAAGAGCAGCCAGAGCTCTTAACCACAGTCTTCAATTTCATGTAATTCTTACCAGCTTCCCTCATATTCAAAAACAAGAATGGATGTTTGCTGTGGTATTTCTTTGCCCGGTAAAGCTGTTGTCTCTGTCTAAGGCACCTTCTGATAGGTTTAATGAGAGCAGGGTGGCAGGAGAGGATAGAGAGAAGCTGGGAGGAGGACAGGTGTGATTCCACCAGCAGACTCTGCACATGGAGAATGTAGACTTCAAAAGCATGGGCCAATTCAGTTATAAATAAAAGCCAGTTGGGAGAAAGCCTAAACTAAGGCCAAACTTTCATAATTAATAACATTTCTCTGGGTCATGGTTTGCAGGCTGGTGGTCCAAAGATAGTCCCACAAGAAAATTTGCTACAGATATTTAATCCTTTCTCTGAAGCTGTGGTCCTTTTATCCCCCAGCCAAGTCCCCGCCCCCAGAGACAGGGTTTCTCTGTGTAGCCCTGGCTGTCCTGGAACTCACTCCAACCAATGGCCCCACCACACAGCTCTGTATTTTCTTTTACTGTTATGCTTTTCTAGAACATACTATAGCTTCAGTCCTCTCAAAATCTCCCTGAGCCCTGGAGTCACAAGTGAATATTACCATACCTGAGGAGGACATAGTATCAACTGACTGAATAAACTGTTACTTATCTTTACAAGTTCCCATCCTAGAAAACTGGCTTACTGCTAGTTTTTAATTTAGAAAAAAAAAAAAAAAATAGCTTCAACATTATCCCTTTCTCAATTTTTATACGTCTAAGATAATGTTTTAAAATAAATTTTGTAAAAGTGGAATCTCAGACAAACAGTACAAGTATGTTTTAGATAGATAATAAAAAGTGTCATTCTGTAGAATGATCAGTGTCTTTTGCCCAGTTCTCCCCTCCCTCCCTCCCTCCCTCCCTCCCTCCCTCCCTCCCTCCCTCCCTCCCTCCCTCCCTCTTCTTTCTCCTCTCCTATAGAGATCCTTCTGCCTCTTCATCAGAAATGCTGAAATTATGGGTGAAAACATGAAGAAAAGTACTGCTTCCTATAATTTTTGGTTGTAGAGAGAAGGTCTGACTTTGAACTCTCGATGTTTCCAAAACTAGCCTCATGTTTGCAATCCTCCTGCCTCGGCCTCCCAAACTGCTGGGATTGACAGGTGTATTATGCCATTTTGCTTGGCCTTCATATACACTTAAAGACATAAACTGATGGATACATAACTTTTGGTAGATAAGCTGCCATTATTTAAAATAATATATGATATGGATCTCCGTTAGTATAGTAATTTTAATTTTACTAAAATACTTCATGACTATGTACAAATAAATTTCTAAGAGTGTTCACTACGGCGCTGTGAAGAAAGTCAGGCATAGGGGTACATGTCTTTAACCCAGGAGGCAGAGGCAAGTGATCTCCGAATTTGAGGCCATCCTGGTCTACATAGCAAGGTTACATAGAGAGACTGTGTCTCAAACAACAACAACAAAAAAAAAAAAACAAAGACAAGAAAGGGCGTTGGCGGCGCACTCAGGAGACAGAGGCAGGTGGATCTCTGTGACTTCAAGGCCAGTCTTGTCTATAGTGTGAGTTCTAGGACAGGCTCCAAATTACACAGAGAAACCCTGCCTCAAAAGGAAAAAAAAAAAAAAAAGATAATTACCACTCTCTTATGATCCTCCTGTTCACATTAATAAACATTCTTGAAACAATTAAGTATGAATTAACCATATTAAAAGAGTATATGCTCAAATATACCTAAAATAAAAACTAACTTATATAACTACAAAGTAGTTATATAATATGTATTTTATATATATATACATATACATATATATGTATATTATGTATACATAAAAATCTGAGTAATTGCTGACATGGAAATGTAACGGAGATCAAGGTGTTCTGAATAAAATACATGTCTAATATTACAGCCAGGGTGTCTCTATTTCAGTCCCTGGACATCCGGGTTACTAAGGCCTCACCTGCAAAGTCTTTGACGTTCACATTTGCCCCTAAACTTATTAACTCTTTGACTTGTTTCACATCTCCTCGAATAGCAGCCATGTGCAAAGGAGTTTCACCACGTTCATTTCTTTTATTAATTTTATCTTTTTGTCGAGACGAAGAACTGGGTGTCTTCTTCTGGGTTGGTGTTGCTTGTGAGGGATGACTTGGTGTGGAATCTGTAAGAAAGAAGACAGTTCAGAAACATTCCCACCATCCACGAACCACATTAACCGCCAGCACTGCATGGTAACCCTGCAAGTAAAGTAAGGGCACACATACCTCGGCAGTAACCAACAGCTCTCTAACTGGACTCAAGAAAGACCTACTTAACAAGAAGGAAGCCATACCTGGTACTAGAAACCTAGCTAAGTAATGAGTACTAATGAAACCATGGTTACTGGAGAAGAATCTACAGCCACTTACTTGGTAAGCCAGAATAGCCCTAATAACAATCTATAAACATTTGTCCTTATACCTACAGATAAGTGTAGTTTCTAACCCTTGTCACGGAAACTTGCCTTTGCAACAGATGGAGAACATTACAGGAAACCATGACCATATGAAAATACAGAGTTGGGACCGCAGTCCCAACGGATGCGTCTACAGAGCACCTCCACAACTAAGGCTCAGGCAACCCTGAGGAAGGGCCATCACGATTCCAACAGTCAGAGAGTCAGGGCGTTTGCTGTGAGACACCAGAAGCTACACCATGACCGCCCAGCTGCGAGCTGAGCAAGGGCACTAATGAACACGCCAACTGGACGGAGATCGGCCCACAAGGACTCAGCCTATAGAACAACTACAGGCAGGTGAACCAAGCTGGGGGCAGGAGAGGTGGCCTTGCCCGGCAAAGAGCCTACCAACTGGCTGTCCAGTGCCAAAGACTCAGCCTGAAAAGCATATATACAAGTAACTCAATGCGAATATTGGGGAGCATATAACGTGTGTGTGTGTGTGTGTGTGTGTGTGTGTGTGTGTGTGTGTGTGAGCGCGCACACACACACGGACGTGCATGTGATAAGCACTAACTGCAGCGGGCAGGGTAGATGGGAGGCTGTGGAGGAGGACAGAGAAGGGAGAAGTGTTGTAATTAAAGCACAATCTCAAAACAACACACGGGGAAGGACTTCTAAATGATTCTGTTCTCTTCAAAAGTTCTTAATGGTAACATAAATATTTCTTAGAACACTGGAAATACCTTTTAAATCTAAAAATTGCCAGGCTATGGGGCAATAATCCCTGCACTCAGGAGGCAGAGGAAAGCAAGGTCAGCCTGGTCTACAGAGCAAGTTCCAGGACAGCCAGGGTTACACCTCTGTCTCAAAAAACAAAACAAAACAAAACCAAAAGAAAAAAAAATTAGTTAGAGGGCTGGGCAATGGTGGCATTACACCTTTGATAGCAACACTCGGGAGGCAGAGACACATGGATCTCTATGAGTTCTAAGTTCAAGGCCTGCCTAGTCTACAAAGTGAGTTCCAGGACAGCCAGAACTATTACACATGGAAATCCTGTCTTGAAAAAACAACAGTTACAAAAAAAAGTGAGTTAGATATGTTAGTAACAAACCAATATAAGAAATGTTTTTCCTTTCTGTCCATTCTAAAATGATAATGGGATATCCTTTACTTTTGGATAATTTGATGAAGTAAAATGCATTTTCTGGGTATGCTGTAATATATAAAACTCCAGATTAAAATGAACTGGAGGCTGACATTCATAGCACTGACCAAAAACATGAGTTCTTTCCTGATACAATTCACAAATTCAACCCACAGGTTATTTTACTAAGAGAATTAATCAAAGAACTGTAAGAAACAAGCACTTAGAAAAAAGATTTGTCAAAATTATGCTTTGCTATAATTCACATCTTTTTTAACATTATTTTTAGTATTTTAAATCATGTGTGTGTGTGTATGATTTAGTTTGCACATCAAAATATCAAGTCCTCTACCCTCAACCCACCATTTCAGAACCACCAGGTGAACAAAATGGTTTCTTAAGCAATTGCTTTTGAAAACATACGCGTTCTTAAACCCTGCTCTAAGAGGGAACAAGCTCATTACAGAATGTGATTGTCATCCTCTGTCTTGGGAGACAGCCAGCCAGAGCTCTTTTCAGCATTCTTTTCCACACAGAAAAAGTAAAGACTCATTTTTGGGACTTAAGTACAGTGTCTCACCAACAACTTTTTCATTTAGTTATTCTAAAACAGACTTGTCAGGTTATTCCATTTCAAATCACTTGTTTTATTTAACAACTATTTAATTAATGCCCATAAGTATAAAGGACTCCTGCTCTTATAGACCTTGCAATCCACTGAGGGATACAATAATAAAGTGTCATGCAAACAATGAGAAAATTAAAAGCTGATGTTATAAACAGGGCTGGTTAAAATTCAATGACGGAGAAAAACTCAAATTAGTAAAAAAAAAAAAAAAAAAAAACCAAAAAACAAAAAAAGTTGTTAAAGACAAAGTTATCCTGACTCTAGGCCAGCAAGGAAGATATAACCTAATGACTGTAGATGTCAATCACCTGGACTGTTGTCCCTTGCTGTCATCTGCATTACAAGTGCCATCTGCTTTCGTTCAGAGAGCGGATAACCAAAGAGGATGCTAACTGGGGTGGATTTCTTACTTCCAGCTTCTTTTTTTGTTTTCTTCTTTTCTGGACCTTCTTTCTCTGTAACGATTAATAAATATGTATAAGAATTGGAAACAAATGTAAGTACTCAAGACAACATCTTTGGTAGAAGCTATGCATGCACACAGATGATATGTGTGTGCTAATGGTGCCTGCTAGACTTACGTAAGCAATATTTTTTCTGAACGTACCAGAAAAGCATATTCTTGATTGTACTGTTAGGAAATTTTACTACTGGCACCATTTTAATTTTGACATCTTTAACAACAATTCAAATAGTCCTTATTAGAGTTGTCCCTTGATATCTCTAGAATTGTTTCTAGGACTTTGTGTGGGTAATAAACCTAAACTGCTCAAGTCTCTCAGATAAAATGTTTCAGGATTTGCATATAACCCACGGAACTCCTCCCATACCCTTTGAATTATATCTAAATTACTTGTAACAAGAAATATTATATAAATGCTATGAAATGTTATACTGGGCTGTTTAGGGAATAATGGCCTGAAAACACTCTGTAGTTGTTTTTTTCCTGAGTTATTTTTATATGTGGTCAGTTGACTCTGCGGACAAAAAAAGCCAAGCATATTACATCTTTGAAATTTCTCTTTCGCACAGAAATTTCTCTGTCACTGCTGCTAAGTCTACATACCAATTGTCACCCTAATTCTAACAATGACTTGTACAATCTTGCAAGAGGCTAAGCGTTTAAGACATGTCTCAAAACACAAAACAATTACTGAAGAAAAGCTACCAAATCATTTCATTGCAATGATTGGATAGCTGAAAAATCAAACGATACCAATCAAAGCTAAATATGAGCAAACTAAAGCTTCTTTGTGGCTAGAAGTTAATATGTATCCTGCAAAGATCCAGAAATTTCCAAAGCCCTTCTCCAAGAGATCCAACCAACCACAAAGGTCAATCATAGCCATTCAGAAAACCTTCCAGACAAGCAGCGAATATGCCCAGTTATGTGTAATGGGCTCAGGCTGCACTGGATGATGGTACAGGTGCAAGACACAGATGTCTTTTTCTTTTAGGAATTCACCTGAATTAATGCAGGCACCAAGTACAAGTGAATCAAACATCTGGTTAGTCCATATTAGATATCTATTTCTGGAATTTATAATTCATGTTTAGAGGTACATAAAAAAAGGGAGTTGCAAAAAGTATAAAATTTGAAATCAGCAAAAATTAAATAGTCACAAATCTAGCAAGTTTCAAGAAATCAATTAAAATCTAATATTATCAATGGTCACAAGTTAATGACTGGTCCAGTGTGTCACGTCCAGTTAATCAGAAAAGACTGGTATTGTAATTAATGATCTAGAAAAAAAAATCGTAATACTTTAAACTTTTATTGCTCACAAATGACTCAAATCATTCTATGAACCCCTAACATGTCCATAGATTGAATGACTGACATTTCCAAACAAAACCAAATAGTTCAAGATTTACTAAAGAAAAAAACCAAAAACCCAAATCACCCTTGTTAATATAGAATGTCTTCTCTCTTTCACTTTCATCATCCCTGGATGATCATCATTAATGAGCTGAGTTCACATGAATCCAGTCTAGCACAGCATTTAACCCATCACTAAAGTTACCTTAAAGTTATCTTAAAGATGTCTTTGGAGAGCACTTTTCCCCCCAAAAGAAGACCGTCATAACAGTTCTGCATAGACCTTCCTTTTCTAATGTTAGGGAGGAACAACTACTGTTGTTTTTAATGGCTTTCCATTTGATAGTAATTTTTAAATACAGTCAATTCATTTCTCTCCTAGAATCAGAACATGTAAGACATGCACATTTAATAGAAAGTTGAGAATGCTTCTAAGGAAGGGAGGAGAACCTGGCAACAGAATAGAACCCGACCAACCTGGGTTTCTGAGACAGGTTCTTGCTTTGTAGTTTAGGCTGACCTCAAACCTGTGATCTCCTACCTTATCCTCTGCAGTGCTGGCATTACAGGTATGGATCACCACACCTGCATGCTTTACTCACTACCTGAGACACTGGGCATTTTAACATAATTTAAAAACACAGACAGACACTCCAGGCTGGACATGGTGGCCCACACTTTACTCCCAGCGCCAGGGAGGCAGAGGCAGGCAGATTTCTCTGAGTTAAAGACCAGCCAGGTCTACAGAGTTCTAGATCACTCAGAGCTACACAGTGAGACTTTGCCTCTCCCCCACCACACACATAAAAGGGAAGATGACATTCTAAAGTGTACATACCAGGGTTAAAGAAAAGACATACTGTCAAATGATCAAATATGCAATTACTTCAGAAAAAGGCAAGCTGAATGTATTCCAAATATTTAAACAAAAATTTTACACTTGCATTCATACTCTGAGTTATCATAATCATTTTCCTGAATTTACGTTTTATATGAACTAGGAAAAGAAAGTGAACTGAATAGTGGCTGGCATAAATAGCTAAACTGCGTCAATTACATTTTTTTAACTGCTAAGTATTAAACTACTACATTTCAAAGTTTGTATTTAGTCTTTATTTTTAGCTTTTTTGCGTGGCTTTGCTTGTTTGTTCTGGAGACGGGACCATACTATATGGCACAGTCTAGCACAGGACTCACTATACAGCCTAGCAATCTCTGAAATGTGAAACTATCAATGACACTCTGTGGGGCTTACCCTGTGAATCCCTCATGTGACGGGTCAAAATTAGAAAAGGTGCCAACTGTCTATCTGGAAAGCGTCAGACAGCTCTCCGGGCTTTTTGCTTGTTTGTGGGGGCTGGGGGATAGCTGGAGACTAATCCAGGGATTTACACATGCTGTGTAAAAGCTCAGCCAAGGAGCTGTACCTCCAGCCTGGGCCCCCCTTCTCAGTAACTAAAGCCCACACTCATTTGTGCTAATACGCCTAAACTTTAAACACAGGGGCAACCAAACACGATCACTTAGTGCTGTCTACCATAGGACTAAATCCCACTTAGACTTTCAATAATGTAAGAAATGTTTCTAATAATAATCAAAATAGCTGCCGCGGCCGCCGTCAGAGAACAGCAGCCATGGCCCTGCACCATCCCATAGCCATGGGGAGGAGGAAGGTCAGCAAGCACAGTCGGGGCCCAGCTGCCCGCAGGCGCCTCACCAAGCTCAAGCGGGACAAGATCCCGGAGGTGTGCACTTTGCGGAGCCACCCAGCTGCTCAAGGTGTCCAAGGACAAGTGCACTCAAGTTTATCACGAAGAGGGTGGGCGCTGGAGGAGCTGAGCCACCTGCAGGCAGCCACGAGGAAGGCGGGGGCCAGAAGGGCTGATGTCCCCACCCCCAACAAAGCTGCTACCGGGCAAAATAATAATAAAAACCGAAAGTCTTTCCATCAAATCCATCTTTCTCTCCTTCCTTCTTTAACATTCAGAGTTCCAGAAACAGAGATGCCAGCTCTCACTTGCTAGAAAAATCAGTGCTCTTCCTCCTCTTCCGGTCAGAGGAAACAGAACACTCAACCTTGTCACTTTTCAAGTACGTGTAGAGTGTTATCACAGAGAAGGGACAAAACTTGGTTCATACTGGTGTCTCAAAAATTAAAGGAGAAAGCATTTCCCAATGAAGTGACCTGCACATAAGACAATGGAAGCTAATGAACACAATTTACTCCATCACACCTGCAGTGTGAACACAGATCACTGAGCCCCGGCTCTAACTTTACAAACAGGGAATGTCTGTGCTCAGCAGCCCCCTTTTAGAAAGGCTCACTAATGCCACAGTGAACCCTGTCACCAGGGTCTTATCCCCCATGATTGCAGCTTAACGTTACAATGAAATTAGTTCTTCAACACCTCCAGACAGGCCCCCAAGCTTGTAAGATAATTGAGATGCATATTAGAAAAACAAGGTGAATGTTCAATTTCTATAGCTAAGTATCATACACTAAAAACTAGGAATACTCAGGGACAGCATAAGATTTTCATTTACTCACATCAGTGTACTTTTAAGCAGAAAGACAACAACTAGTCTTGCCGGGCACGACAGAGCACACTTTGTAATCCTACTACTTGGGTGGCAGAAGCAGGTAGATCTCTGTGCGTTTGAGTCTAACCTGGCCTACAAAGAGTTCTAGGATAGCCAGAGCTACATAGTGAGGCTGTATCTAAAGAACAAACTAGTTTTATTCTTTATTAAAAAAAAAAATATTTATTTACTATGTATACAGTGTTTTGCCTGCATGTATTCCTGCATGCCAGAAGAGGGCACCAGATCTCATCACAGATGGTTGTGAGCCACCGTGTGGCTGCTGGGAATCGAACTCAAGGACCTTTTGGAAGAGCAGCCAGTGCTCTTAACCTCTGGGCCATCTCTCCAGCCCTATACTTTATTTTAAAATGAGGGAGTTTCTCCTATATTCTTTATTTAGAGTAATTATGAATCCCAAACACCCGACTAGAGAAGTTCTAGGCAGTCAACGGCAGGGGGATTTGTGCAGGTGACCCCACATTTTCATACTCTTATGGTTCAGTTCTACCTGTAAAGCAAAAGTCAATAAAGACTTCAGAATTCAGTGAATAATATTTTTAAATATTCATTTTAAGGAATAAATCACATGACTGAACAGGTATGATAACGCTTGGGAAGGATTTACAAGCAGGCCAAGGAGCTTGGGCTCTCTCTTAGGAAGGAGGCTAAAGCTAAAAATTTTGCTGGATTCATGTAACTCATTTAATTTAGCAAAGATATCTGTAAACTGGTTTGAAAAATAGTTACTTATAGTACACTACTCAAATAAACATGACAGTACCACTGGCTTTAGAGGAAACCCTGATAATCTAATTACCTGAGTATGTCCTGTAAGAAGAGATAAGTCTCTCCCCCCAATTTTCACTTGTATGTCCTGGGTCTGAATCTATAGAATGAAAAGAGACAGGAGAAAAGAAAAAAGCACACGAAAGGAAATGCAGAATTCAACATAGCAACATTTTTAAAAGATTACCACCAGTTAATCAGGCAATGATAGATTATCATGGGCTTTATCTCAAAAACAGCATTTGGAAGAACAAAGGACATTTAGAATATAGGTGTGTCCAGCACGCAGCATACTTCATTTCCTAGGTAGAGCACCTTAGAGATGTAACCAATAACACCATGATGCTGCTGAATTAAGCACAGCTCTTTTGATGCTTTTTTTTTTTTTTTTAAACTCTGCCAATGTAAGAGACAATGTTCTTATCCTTGATTTTCTGTTTAGGATTTGTCTTTGAGTAAGCTGAATCAAACTCATTTCCTATGAGGGCTAAAATTACTACCAAGACAAAAGAGACTTCAGTATCATCCTAGTCCACAGACTGTGCTCATTCCTAGTGACAGGAGTTACTGCCACATTTATGTGAAGACAGATCATCCAAAGCCATCATCTTATAATCTAGGTTAAAAATATGGATTTCTGCTTAACAAATGATGACAACTGATGATACAACTGAAGCTGCTTTTACTTTAAATAATAATCCATTTACCTCACAAGTTACTATTCTTACAGTCAAAGCTTCAGGGTGCTGACACACATATACCTTTCCCTTTCCAGAATCATTACACACAGTATCATCACCTTTAGTAAGTATGGCAAATCAGGCGTTGAGGAAAAAAACAAGAAAACAATTGATCACAAAATACAATATATGAAAACTTTAAACTTTTAAGTTTAGTAAAGAGAGGTTCATTCAAGAAAAGGGGATCATTAACAAAGTAACTTTTAACCAAATGTAAAGCAAGTTGATAAGCTGATTCAATGACAAGACTTCTGGTGAACATACATATTTCAAAACTAAATACATTAAACTGAATATGTGTAAGAATTACATTAAAAAATCTGACATTTCACAAAAAAAATAAGCAGAGCTTTACATGGCTTCCATAGACTATTTGGCTTCATTATGTATTTAATAATGTTTGAGAAAAGGTCTCACCATGTATCCTTGGATGGTCTGGAACTCACTACATAGACCAGGGTGGCCTCTAACTGACTCACCTGCCTCTCCCTCTCCCTTTTAAGTAATGGCATGTTTTGCTCATATTTACCCCCTATCATCTTCCACTGGCCCTTCCTGTCCCTCCCTTTATTAGTTCTCCATGACCCTATGATCTCCTCTATTACTTGTATGTCACAGAAACGTGTCTGTATTTAAATTTATATTCTGTGAATGTAAGAGTGATGGTTCATCTTCTCCCTTTATCCTTTGTTCCGCCCTTCTTCTCCCAAAATAGTTCTGCTTCATGTCACACACACACACACCACACAGTCACTCACACTCACGCATGCACACACACACATAAATATATACACACACACACACCACAGTCACTCACACTCACGCATACCACACAGTCACAGACACTCACGCACACACACACACCAGTCACTCACACTCACGCATACCACAGTCACAGACACTCACGCACACACACACCAGTCACTCACACTCACACATATACACACACACCACACAGTCACAGACACTCCCGCACACACACACCAGTCACTCACACTCACACACGCACACACACACACATATATACACACACACCACAGTCACTCACACTCACGCATGCACATGTATATATACTCACACACACATATACGCACACACACTCTCACACACACACCCACACTCACACACGCACCCTGACATACCATTATTTTGTAAACGTGTTATCTTTCCACATTGTTTGAATCACTTGAGGTAAGTACTCTAATAACATCCACAGTCTCAGGAAAGATGAATTTCTAAGGCTGGCAGACAGAGAAGGCTTCACTCACACAATTTAACACCCTCTACAATTTTGGGACCATGGACTCTGGGACCATACTGTGCTTCCACAAGTAACTGGTACTCATGTGCATGTTAGTGTACACACACGCACGCACGCACGCACGCACGCCATGCCCCGTTGTAGTCTGAATGAAAATGACCCCATAGGTTCACAGATCGGGTCCCCAGGGAGTGGCGCCATTTGAAAGGATTAGGAGGTGTGGCCTTGTCCGCTGCTTCGCCAGCACTGGGTCTACCTGCGTCTTCCATGCTTGGACTGGACTACCCCTCTAAAGCTCCACTAAATGCTGTGGTCGTGTGTCTGAGACGCCCACCCTGCACCCCATGGCTCCTGCGGAGGAGGAAGGGCAACTCGTGGGAGTCAGTTCTCTCCTGCCACGCAGGCCCCTGGGATTGAAACAAGCTCCGTGGTTAGCAGCCTTACCTACATCTGGTGGTCCCTGACATGGAATAAAAGAACTATGAATTCAGCCATTAGCCTCATTTGAGAGATACTACATATTTCTAATTCATTAATGAATCAGAAATGCCTGAAGTTCTTTGTTGCATCCAACATCTTTTACTCATATACACAAAGTCTTAGTAACGTTTGTCTTCTTGGACAATTTTCATTAGTGAAATGAACCCCCCAAACTAAGTTCTAAACATGCTAAAATATTTGTAGTAAACATTCCGAGTAAGGAATATAGATTTTTTTTTAATCTATTAGAAACTATAGTTTGGATACACTTCTGCCCCCATGATAAATCTGAAATACTTACTATTTCTCTATGAACCAAAAATGTCAAGAGGAATGGTGCACAGAAAAGCAAAAAGAAACCAGTTAAGAGCATGGTGAGTTTACCAGAAGATAAGCATCATACCTGTGTCTGAATCTCGCTCTTCATGTCTTGACGGGCTGATGGTAAAAGGCAGTTTACGTTTCATGGATGATTTCTCTTTCATCTCCTTGCCCATATCACTTCGGTCAATTTTTGAAGTTTTGCTGTAAGATGCAATCTTGTCTTTACTCTATTTTTTTTTAAAAAAAGTCAAAGATAAATAAAATTATAACAATCCTCACTAAGCAGCATGGAATTTTAAATTAAATTCTCTATTATTCAGGCTGGACCAATGGCTCAGAAATCAAGCACTTATTGCTCTTGCAGAGCTCCTGGGTTCAGTTCCCAGCTCACAGATGTCTGAAACTCCAGTTTCCAAGTCCTTTCTGATCTCCATGGGCACACACACACACACACACACACACACACACACACACACACACACACACACACACACTATACACTTTTCAAATCCTCTGTTAAGGAATTTTTAAAATTTAAAAATAAAATGATAACCAATTAATGTATTTAATGACTTAATATGGAGCTTCAACAATTACATCTCCCTTGTGCTGACTAGCTTTATGTCAACTTTAACAAAAGCTGAAGTCATCTGAAAGGAGGAGCCCTCAATGGAGAAGATGCCTCCGTAAGAGGCAGCTGTAGATCATTTTCTTAATGAGTGACTGACGGGGAGGGCCCAGCCCATTGAGGGTGGTGCCATCCCTGGGCTGCTGGTCCTGGGTTCTCTAAGAAAGCAGGCTGGGTAAGCCATGGGAAACAAGCCAGTGAGCAGCGCCCTCCATGGCCTCTGCGCCAGCTCCTGCCACCAGGCCCCTGCCCTCAGTGTTTTTGATGAACTGTTATACAGAACTGTGAGTGAATTGTGCCCCTTTTCCTCCAAAGCTGCCTTCGGTCATATTTCATGACATCACTAGAGACCCTAATTGAGACAGCTCTCAACCCACTACTTTTCTGAGACAAGACTGCACTACATAGGCCAGGCTGGCCTCAAAGTCACAGTGACCCTCCTACTGCAGCTTCCCAAGAACTAAGATTATACGTGTGAGCCACCACACCTGGATTAATTATAACATTTCCCAAGACATTTCATAGCAATAGAAAACTTAAGAACACTAAAATATCTGGAATGTAACAAAGAAATATATCTTTAATATAATCTAGATGGATTACATTGAATAAACACTTAAGGAAGAGAGAGAGAGGAGGGGAGGGGAGGAGGGGGAGGGGAGAGAGGAGAGGAAGGAGGGAGCCTGTAATTACAGCTGCAGGCTATCTGACACCCTTCCCTGGCCTCCATGGGCACCCAAACACGTTACATGCGTTTACATAAGTGAAAACTCTGAAATGTCTTTAAAAACTAACAAAACAGGATTTACTCAGACAGTGCAAAGACAGCGGCTTATTAGAGAGACTCTAGGGGCTGGAGGGTGTCTGTGGTTAAGAGCAGGCACTGGTGTTGCAGAGGACCTGGGTTTGGTTCCTAGCACCCATACTGCTTGGGTGCCAGTACCTTCGGCTCCTGGAGCCTGGACTGCAAGGGCGCCCGCGCTCACACGCGCCCGCGCTCACATGCACGCGCATATCCCCATTTGACATCCATGTTACATTTTTTGAGTAATTACTAAAAATACTAAATTGGGAGTCTTTCCCCCAGATTCCAAAGAGTCTGGTACCTTTCTTCCATATGGTCTCTCTACCATATTGCTGTCGCTGTCAGAATTTTCACTCTGAACTGGTTTTGGGAACCCAGATTTGGGCATTTTACAGCTGTTCAGCTAGCTGCTTCTTCTATCAGTCTTCTCATCCTGGACCTGTAAGGAATAGACATACAATGTGTTATTTGTATGTGCATACAATGCGATCTACTTAACATTTACATGCCACAGTTAATACAATTTAGTTTTCTGTTTCTGTATTTTTTTTTTCCAGAAAAGATACCTACTTTTTGCTTATCAATCTGAGTTTTGACTAAGTTCTCTTGTTGAAGTCTATTGGGCTTGTCTATGGGAGGAAGAAGGACTTAAGCCCACAACCTCCTAATGACCATCTCCAGCTTCCTAGACATCCACGACAGCGGCCGTGGAGAGTAGGGGCAAAGGGTTCTCATTCCCGCCTGGGTGGGAGCTTCAGACAGGCTTCTCCTCAGACTCAAGCAAACCATGGCAGGTGTCATCAGAAATGGATACCTAGTTCCCTATATTTCACTCTACCTGCATTAAACCTTTCTTCACTGAACACTCAATCACCTTGTATCTTTAGCAAACTATTTGCTCATATACTTGTGCTGACTCTAACAATCACTTTATACATCACTGTCTTTCAATCTTCTGTCTCCTACTCTGTGACCAACCAGGACCTCCTCAGAAGCTTACGCTTATGACAACTTAGAGTTAAGAGATGCAGCAAAAATTCTAAGGAATTTTCACATATAAATGTGGAAGCTACAAATCTAAACCTGCTTTTGTTCTCTGATGGTCTAACAGGAAGACAAAGTTACAGTAGCTATTATAGTATTCAGTATAGGTATGTATTTACATTCTCATGGGAAAGTTTCAATGCACAGCAGTGGGCCAGATGAAGGTTCCTGGCCAAGATGGGCATTCATTCCACAACAGTGAGAAATACAATGACTGACAAGCTGACTTCCAACTGCTTCATGCAAATAATGTCCAGTGAACATCGCCAAGTCTTAAGGAACCTGCCATTCTGGTGCCCGTGTGAACTACTACATTCAGAAGCTTTGGTAGCATTAGTCAAGTCTGCCACACCCTCCAAACTGTCCTGTTGGTGCTTGAAAAGGGGGAAAGGGAAACTGATTGTCTTAGTAAACGGATCTGTGTAGAACCCAACTAGAGTAACCACCATACAAACTATAAAAACAGAAATTAAAAGCATACTAAATCATTGAAGTATTTAAACAAGAAATACTGTCTGTCAGTGGGGCTGGTTAGATGGCTCAGCAAGTAACCCTGGCGCCCTGAACTCATATGGTGGAGGAAACTACTTCCATAAGTTGCCCTCTGGCCTCTACATGCACACATGCACACGCGCGCACACACACACACAAACGCAATTATTTTCTTAAAATGTCAGTAACAACTGGTTAGAGATGTAGGTTGTAGTTATAGCCAACTCAACCACATCAAACCAAAACAACAACAAAAATCGTCACAGTTCAAACCGTTCCTTTTACAGAAGAGGACATAAATTTTCCATGGGTGCTTAAAAAGCAGTGCGTGTCTTGGGCCATGCAACTGCCTAGAGCAGCCATGTAAACATTTAACACAAAATGAAGTACTTTTCTCAACGCTGGCCAAGAGTAATGCTTAGGGAGTTAGAGTCACAAGTCACAGAGAAATTGAAAACTGTCAATTCAAATCAAAACGAAGCCGCTTAATAACAGGCAGCAATGTGGCGAGGGTACGAAGACAGCACACTGTCTCTTTTGAGGGTGAAACCAGAGCAGTTATTAATAAAAGAGTGTCATAAGGTTTTGCTGTTGCGATTTTTTTTTCTTCTTCTGGTTTTTTGAGACAGGATATCTCTGTGTGACAGCCCTGACTCTCCTGGAACTCCCTTTGTAGACCAGGCTGGCCTGGAACTCACAGAGATCCTCCTGCCTCTGAGTGCTGGGATTAAAGGCGTGTACCACCACCGCCCAGCTATGAGATTTTTGAAAAACAATTTTAGGACATAAATAACTGTTATATTAGATGGAGTGTGTGTCAGAGAAGTTTATATATCAGATTAAAAAACCTTACTTAGAAAAAATTATTAAATCATAATAAAAATCATGCATTTCAAAAATGTTTAAAATATATAGTTACAGATTTAATGTAAATCATAATCACTAGAGTAACCCCCAACTATACAAGGAGATATAAAAAGCACTCTAAATAATTACAAAAGGAGTAGTTCAAATATGCAAATAATCCAAAAAAAAAAAAAAAAAAAAGGGCAGTGCTGGGGTTGAGCAAGAGAGCTGGCCTGCTGATTAAGCCAGCGGGGAGCACGCTAACCACTGAGCAGAACAACCCACAGGTCAGAGAGCCAACTCCAAAAAGTTACTCTCTGACCCCACATGTGCACTGTGTGGCATGCACACACCGTTACGTACACACAATCAATAAAGACTTTTAAATTTAAAAAATATAATAGCCAATAAAGTGAAAGACCCAATCCAAACTTAGCAATAGTTACAAAATACCATGGTTCATATCTTAGTTGTTTTGTAAAAGGGGGGGGGGCTCAATTTTGCCTCAAGTTTCAGGGCAGGAAAGACCTGATCTCAAACCCCCAGTCACAAGGCACTCTAGCACAGTGCCTGAAAGGGCAGCCTTCTGCGCTGGTCCTTCTAAGAGACATGGCTCATTAGAAGAGGAGCTATGAAACAAGGAGGTGCCATCACTCCAGTGTCTGACAAGACACAGACCTCAAACCAGAGCTAGTAACACGGATAAAGAAGGTCACTGTACATTAGTGATGCAACAACCCATCAAGGATGTGAGCAACAACCCTGGAAGGCAGCTGTGTCTGCAAAGGCTGCTAACTGGCTGGCTGACTGACAGAGCTACAGTGATGGAGACAGGCCCACAGGCTGATTACCTCACTGTGGGTTAGCTTTGGTCCCCTGAATAGCCATTCCTTACCCACCCACCCCAGTCAGAACTAACATCCTATTATGTGATAGAAACAAACCTTTTCAAACTCATGAACCTGACAGACTGCATCTTCCACAAACCCAAAAGCTAAAGCTGTCGCCATGTAACTGACACCCACCCTGCCGTAACCATCTCTCTGATGTTCCTATATTTCCAGCTTGCCTGCATTCATGACTTTCTTTAGCCTTTGAAACTATAAAACTTCATGAAACTGCTTCCATGTTGGGACATGGAATTTGAGGCAACCTAAATCTGTATTCCTGGATCATGGTCAGTCAAAAAGGCTCCAGAAAAAAAACTATCTCCTACTCCTCTTTAGGTGAGAGATGTGTTTTCTGCGTTGACAAGGGCATTTCAATTCTAAGCACATATGCAACCAAACACAAGTGCTCCCAATTCATAAAACAAATACTCTGAGATGTAATGTAAGGTCAGACTAACCCAGCACAGGAACAGTTGGGACTTCAACACAAGACTTGAAGCAATTAACAGGTCATTCCATAAAAAAAAATGAACTAATAAAGGAATGTTTTGATTAAACTATATCATAAACAGACATCTCCACATTTCATCCTTGGCCTAATAGCCTGAGTTTGGAGGTGGGAAGTAAACGATTCCCAGAGGCTGTGTCTTCTGACCTTTTCCACATTAAATAAATTAATTCATCCAAACACTGAATAATACACATTTCTCTTTACAGCCCTCAGAACTTTCTCTAAAAAAGGTGATATGTTAGGACACCAAGAATGTCTAAAGAAATACAAGAAAAGTGAAATAATTCTGTTTATTACACCTGTTCACAACAGAATAAAATTCCTGATAGCAAGATACCCTGTAAAACACAGCACACGGAGATTAAACAATATGAAATGATGAATGGGTTATTGAAGAAAAAAAAAATCAAGGAGAATTTTTAATTCCTAACCCGAATGCAAATGAAAGCACAGCATACCACAAATGACAAAACACAAAAATGGGATCCTATGAGGAAGTTTGTATCTGTAAGAGCCCACATTAAGAAGGCATGCTAGAGCTGGGCATGGGGGCGCACACCTTTAATCTCCGCAGAGGCAGAGGCATGTCGGAAAAACACCAATACCAATGCACATAAAATAAACATATCATTTTAAATAAAGATCAAATTTAGGCTTTTTCCCCCCCTCTGGCGGCAGCCATCAGGTAGGCAGGTGAGGCAAGATGGGTGCATACAAGTGCATCCAGGAGCTATGGAGGAAGAAGCAGTCAGATGTGATGCGCTTTCTGCTGAGGCAATACTGCCAGCTCTCTGAGCTGCACAGGGCTCCCCGCACCACCCGGCCTGATAAAGCGCAAAGGCTCGGGTACAAGGCCAAGCAAGGTTATGCCATATACCGGATTCATGTTCACTGTGGTGGCTGCAAACGCCCAGTTTCTAAGGGTGCAGCTTAGAGCAAGCTCGTCCATCATGGCATTAACCAGCTAAAGTTTGCCCGAAGCCTTCAGTCTGTTGCTGAGTAGAGAGCTGGCCGTCATTGTGGGGCTTTGAGAGTCCACAATTCTTACTGGGTTGGTGAAGATTCCACGTATAAGTTTTTTGAGGTTATCCTCAATTTATCCATTCCATAACCCTGACACCCAGTGGATCACCAAACCAGTCCACAAGCACAGAGAGATGCGTGGGCTGACATCTGCTGGCCACAAGAGCCGTGGCCTTGAAAAGGGCGCAAGTTCCACCACACTCTCGTCGTGCAACCTGGAGAAGGCGCAACACTCTGCAGCTCCACCGTTACCACTAATATATGTGATGATTGTAAAATTGTATACCCAATAAACAATTTAGGACCATCATGTCTGCTTAAAGGTGTTGTTTGTCAACTAGTCTGCAGATTGTCACAGATGCTTTGTGAATTATAGCAGTGAAAGTGTAATAATGTTTGACTACAAGTGATGGCATACCCTTGTTTCTAAAAACTGCCCACGTTGTGTGCTGGGGTAAGTGTATGGTGTTTACGCCATGTGGTATACGACATGTAGAGTAGGGTAGGAGTCCTAGGGCTGCACTAAGATGTGTTTGCTGCGTGTTATAGAACCTATAGCTTTGTTGGGATTATGCAACCTTCTGGTTCATTGCAGTTCTGTTTGCTTGGGAATTTGGTGAGTACAAACTTTT